TATTCCGTAGGTTTAGCAATTTTTGGGCCACTTGGAAATAGGTCAGCTCCACAATAAACTAACCTGAACTGAAGTTTTTTTTGACTAATTTAATGTGTTAACAGAGAAACAATGAGTCATTTTTCTGGCCATCTGAGGGATGTAAGTTCAGTATCAGCTCACTTTTTTAGCTCTGTTTTGATCTCCACCAACTATTTATAGCTAGTTAGCTTTCAGTTAGCTGGTCAATAACATTGTCATTTGGTGCTGGGCAGGTAGCATACAGTTGTTTTATCCGATAATTTTTTGATCCATTGTTCATGTAAAATGTGGACTAGTGATGCTTTACAAGAACAAGATCTTCCCGTGTTGGAGCTACAAAGATAAAATCTTATCTCAGAGGATGACTGTGTCTTAGGCTCTGGGTGTTTTGTTTGTGAGTTCTTCACACAGAGACGTTTGTGTACAGACAAATACATAAATCACACAGATATGCAAATGTACAGCTTCTCGTACACTCACAAAGCAAATTCAATCTCCCCTCAGAAATGCAGAATCAATGGACACATTAATAAATACACACCTGACATTCCAATACACACCATCAGACACACCACAGCCCTCCAATCAATACACAAACACTCTCACACGCAGGCACGCACGCTGCTAATCCATCAGCAGCATGGAAATGAGCAGACCTCTCCAACACTCATCTATCACTCTGATTGGAAGTGATCACTATTCAATAACACCCTGCATCCACTCGCTCTCTGTAGCTCTTTCACCGTAGATCACAATCATAGAAATTGATATTGAACATTAATAGCACTTTTACTGTTTTTTACTTTCCTTTGTTGTGCTTTTTAAAATATTTTACAGTGTATATAACAGAAAATATTCAAAAATGTGTTATTTTTCTGTGCTTCTTTCTCACCTTTTATCTACTTTTATATCTATAGATCATGATGGGGGAGGGCCTCATGTACTGTATGCAATCTAAACTGAAGACATGTCCCAAGTCGGAGAGCAGCATTAATGCTGGAGGCTGCAGCTTCAACTCCTTCCTACGCAGAACCGTACGCTTCGTTGGTACGTCCAACCACCAATCCTTCTGGGAGGGGGGGGGGTTGATGGGAGTTTAAGGAATTATGGTCACATTCCAACATCTACAGCAAATTTTTATGGTTTTATGGTTTGCTCAAGAATACATGGACAGGATACATGGCTGTTGCTGTGGACATAACGATATTTGTGGTGGAGCTTGCCCCAGGAGCCTTCTTTTAGAAGGTCTCATTAATGTCATGGTTTGTCAAACAGCATTATTCATCCATGTATACATATTTTGAAAAAAAAAAAAAAACACTTTTAATCACATGATCACAAACAAACAACGTGACTGCTGACATTCTGGCAGATGTCGTGCCAGAACTGGAACCTGACATATCTAATAGCACAAGCGAAGACACCTAAGAGAATGACGATAACATAAGAAGATAAATGGAGATGCTATGTCTTCTGTTGGTGCACCTGCTTAGTGTTAAACTGTTAGCAAAGTTGTCGACTGGCTAATTTTTGATCATAAGTAATGTAATCTTAACAAATGAACGTGTACTGCTGTCCATATTTACACCAGTGGTATTGCAACTGGGGGCACAAATGCCAAATCTTACATAGTGTTAACTACTACTGTTAACTGGTAACTGTATAAGTGTGACACCATTTCTAAAGCTGTGTTGAGGTTAAAATTAAATAGATTCTTTAGTTTGGGCATACATTTTGTACGTTGCAATTTGTGACTAAGGTTGTGGAAGATGAGCATGATATAATTTATATTTGGTCTTCCATTACCGAAAGAATTAACACTGTTAAGAACTGCCTGCTGTTAGTAGTTAGAGAGACAAAATGCTGTTGTTTTTAAGATGGAAATTAGTTTTGGCTCAGACAAATTATTCCACTTACCGGCTGAGCCCCGAACCTGATTTAACTTTTTATAGCAGGGAAATAAGCTAATTACATGCATTAAATGAAGAGTGACTTAAATTGAAATAGGCATGATATACTGCTGCACGGGAAAATATCTTGAGGCAGATTTTGAGCTTTGAAGTGAAAAGAGTAATTAATTCACCTTGCCAAATTTGACTGTCTGCGGCAAAGCTTCGTAACGTAACAAACTGAAGGCCTGTGGTGTCACTTCAGGTTGTTGGAGCAAATTCAACAGTGTTTTCAACTGCAGGTGTTCACAAATGAACAGCTTGATGTGATGAATCCACCAGGGGCTTTTAGTTCATTTACCAAGGCTGCCTTACCATCTCTATCTCCGTCTCCTACCTATCTTTCCCTCAGGTGTTCATGTGTTTGGTCTCCTGGCAACAGCCCTTGTGACAGATGTCATCCAGTTAGCTACTGGTTACCACACCCCTTTCTTTCTTACCGTCTGCCAGCCCAATTACACAGCTCCGGGAGTGTCATGTGACAACCACGCCTACATCACACGAGACATCTGCATGGGGAAAGACCAGTATGCCATCATGTCAGCAAGGTAAGACATAGAGATATATTTTAGAGCTGAAAGACATAGAATGTCTTTATCTGCCTGAAAAAATATACCTGTGTGCAAAACAATATAAAACATATTAAGACACACAGTTATTGTGCATTCATTAAAATAAATAATCTATTTATTTGTGCAAGACCTTACTTCTCAGCTCTTAAGCTCTGTTCTTGTGCCATTAAGTAAGACTTCAACAATGTCTCTGCACAGAGCCATTTACAAACATACCTTATAATGTATATATTCATGCAGCTGAGGCTTTGCTCATAAGAATGTGCTTTATCAAGAAATGCTGCAGCACACACTGAGTTACAGTGATAAAAGGATTTTGCACTGTAAGCTGTATATTGCTACACATCACTATCTTGCAGGAGTATATATGCAAACTACAAGGTGAGGAGTCATCAAAACTAATTAGCATTTGAAGAGGATTACAGGAGATTAAAGTAGCGAAGGAGTGAAATTGTTGTTACAGTTGGATTTTTAAAATAATGCAGTATTATTTCTTAATGATATGCTGCTTAGTAGTTTATTTGTACAACAAGACTTACTGTGCTCTTAGAAATTCTCATTGGAATCTCAAGAGAGAAGCTACAGCTGTGGCCACGTTTGGCTGAATATACTCTTTAGCAGCACAGTGTGTAACAAACAGACATAGGTCAGACAAACAAGCTACAGCATATGGGTATTGGACATGCATAATAAGTGTATGCAGACATAAAAGATTACAGCTCAATATAGCCCATATAGGGATAATCCCAGGGATACAAATGCACAAATGTTAGTACGGTACTTGTAAGGACCCATAGTAACATAATCCATTCCCTAGCGCCTAGATTGATACCACACTATATATGTTAAATATAAGGCTACAGTCAGTGGTCAGTTAGCTTAAACCAATATGTAAAAAATTATAATTACGTTTTTAATGAGGGTTAGGGACTGGGCTAGTTCTTGGCTATGAGCAGTTCCTAGGAAACCAGCTGAGACTCCCTAGAAGTTACTGCACCAAGACAACAAATAGTCTAGCCCGTATAACCACATTGTGTTATTTTTACACTAAAGTTTTGGAACAGGTTTAAAACTTGAAATAAAGTGTACAAAGACAGTGTAGCTGTTCTTTCCTAATCAGCTGCTGGCTGTATCCTTATATAGAATGGAGATATATAACAGTGCTATCAATCTTCTCATCTAACTCTCAGCAAGAAGGCAAATAAGAGTATTTCCCAGATGTCAAACTATTGATTTAACAATCACAACTTAATGCCTACCCCAACAGTTAGCATAAACTTAAAACAAATGTAATTCTAGTAATTGTTCTTCTGAAGTCTTGACCCTCAAATAGACCTTTGAAAAAGGAAGTATCAGCCGAAACTATAAAAAACCAAATTTCCCACTCTAAATGTCTAAAACTCAAATTGGTCTTAACAAAGACAGACATACCAAAGTGTTTACCTAACCAACACACACACAGACAGACAGGTTAAGCCCCGAAGAAATGGGAGCAGTTAAAAACGCAATAGTGCAAGACACATGGATGAACACACTCACACACCTTAATAAAGAAAATTCATTGAGATATGTGATTCAGCTTTCTAAACTCTGAATTTGCGACTGTGACCGCAACTCATTCACTCTCCCCGAATGCTCCCCCTAATGCCCCATGGTATTCTGTTTGTGTTTATTAATGCTCACATCCAAGGACGCAAGCTCAGTGTGACAAACACAGTAGGGCAGGTTTTACTGTCAAATACAATCCAGAAATCACAAATAACATGAGCAGCCATGATAGCTTTATTCAGGTTTATTCAAGAGGCAGTAAACAAACTCACAATCCACACAGCTTTTTTTTGTGAAAACGTGAATTTCTTTCTGCATTTACTCTTTCACACCTAACTCTCCCCCTTTCTCCCCTCAGGAAAACATTTCCATCCCAGCATGCAACGCTCTCTGGCTTCGCTGCTGTCTATATCTCCGTAAGCACTCCTGTGTCTTACTCTGTGTTTGTGTACCTTGATTATGATGCATTTGCATCATATACTTTATGCTTGCATGTGTTTGTTTAATAACTAGTTATCCCTGTTTTGTTTTACATTTTAGTAAAGTCCTTGGTGATTAATATTACAGCAGTGTTCTTTGCACTACATTTATTTATGCGTAGGATTTTTCTTTCAGAAATGTTCATGGGTTTGTGCAGATGACAATAATTTCTTTATCTGTTCAATTATATGTCTGTTCATGATAACTATCCAGATGCTCTTCTGCTTAGTCTTAACAGACGTTGCTGCTAGCAGCGTAAAATTCATTCCTGCATATCAGAGCATTTTTAGCTGGAAGTAAATGACTTGCTACATAAGTCACAATTGTATTATAGTTAGTACTCACTGAGAGATTTACATATTTTAGACTACAGTACCCTCAGGCCAAAAAGCCATCTAAATTAAAACACATTAAAAGAATAACAGGAACTGTCTTTTAAGGTCAGATTTCAGTGTTCATTGTTACATCCTAGTGCATATTTGGTAGTTTTTTTCCATTCTGCTGTCCCGTGCTGACTGCAGCAGTATGTGAACTGTACAGCTAAGTAGCATTGTCATTTTTCCATGAGGTAACACCCTCCAATACACACACACCACCCTCCACCAATGGCTATTGCAAGCTACTGGCCATATTACTGCTGCCTCACTGAGCCCAGAGTGTGCTCATTAAAGCTCACCAGACAGATTTCTTATGAGAGAAAATGCAGGAGAGGAGGAGGAGGAAAGCAGCTGTTTTGGTTGCTAGTTGGTTGTTAGAGTTACAACATGTTGCCTAATATTTGCAGAGTAGAGAAGCAGCTCAAAAAAACTGATGTCAGATCATTTTTCTTCAGTATTGTTCTTCACTGCCAACCACATTAGGACATGTATTCAAAAAACCTTTGTGGGAAATTACAATGAAGTGAAATAATTCCACCTTCACAACACATATTTAGATTTTTCCCCGCTCTCTTGCTTAGAAGAGTAGGATTTCTATGCACAATACTAGATGGACAAGCTTAAAATGGATACTTTTGCAAAGCCTGCTTTTCTGTCACTCAGCTGTCCTCCTTTTTATGTAATAGAAATATTGTGTGCATGCAGAGAATTTTAATGTAGCTGTAAATATGTTCTCTCTCTCTCGGCCTGCTTTCTTCCTTACTCTATTTTACCATCAAAGAACAATCATCCGAATTTTCATGGAACAAACTAAACAATAGGAGACTGTTCATTTAACTTTAAAGAGGATTCTTCAAATCAGTGGAGTTGTCTTTAAAGGAATAAATTAACATTTGGGGAAATATGATTATTCGCGGCAGGTGAATTTCCCAACATGTCAAATTATTCCTTTAATATTAAAGTTTAGGATATACAGGATGTATTTCCTTCATTTCTCTAAACTGTAAATCTTTCAATAGTTGAGGTCAAACATTTGTTGCAGCGTGCTATTATGCCCTAATGACATCTCCATCCCAGTCAACATATGTCTGGCTGTGTGTCTTTATGCATATTTATGCGTGTCTCTCTCCCTCTCTCTCTCCTCAGATGTATTTCAATGCCAGCATCAGCAGCACGACCAAGCTGCTTAAGCCGTTGCTGGTGTTTGCTTTCTGCATGGCAGCAGGCCTCGCTGGGCTGACGCAGATAACTCAGCACCGCAGTCACCCAATAGATGTCTACGTGGGGTACCTCATAGGAGCCGGCATCGGAGTGTACCTGGTTAGTTGAACAAAGTGCACAAAACTGTGTATAACAAGCATGGTGAAATATTTATCAGACATGTCAAGGTGTAAACTAAAATCTGTTGGCAAAATATATTAGAGGACTTAATTTATGTGGCTGGCTTTAAAGATAATTGCTCCTTTTATGATAAAGGCACGCTGAAAGACATTTGAGCAAGTGAAATTGTCTTGAAATGGATTTCCTATTTCAGAATTTAGTTTCTGTAATGAGTGCCAGCATATGTTTGTATATATTTAGGGATTTGTTTTGTCCCCAGGGAGTAGTTAACAGTCAGCATGCAGCATGGTGGGAATGACCGAATACACATAAATATTTATTTATTTTTTTTAATAAAGTGGTTTAGTTGTTTTGCTCTGACTGAATTGTTCCATTGTATTATTCTCACACTATTACAGCATGTGCTAACAAATGCTTCTTATTTTTATCACCTCCCCTCTCCGTGTGGCTTCCATACTTTTCTCTCCCAGCAGTTTTTTTTTTTTTGGCAGGCTCTATATATAGCTTTTTCTATTACGGAGGAAAGGGAGAGCGAGAGAGAATGAATAATCCGATAAGAATTTTCTGGAACAATTTCACACTTCATTTTAAGAAAACTTGTCGTTGCCATTTCGCACGCTTCCCTCCTCCTCTTACTCTCTTTCTTTCTCGTCTTTAGTTTTTAAGAGGGGGAGCATTTGTCCCTCTCATTAAAGGATGAATTCTGAGAGAGGGAGGAAGAGGGATTCATGCTGACCTCACTAAACAGGAGGAAGAAAGAAAGATGCTTATTCATGCACTTGCTCCTCGCTAATAGGAATATAATTTTTTTTCCCTCCTCAAGATTAAAGAAAATACATTTTCACGCTTCAGTCTTTATTTAACATGCCGGGTGCTTCTGTCTCCTCATTTATTTCTCCTCCCCACCTCCCTCCTTGTATTCCTCTGTCCTGTCAGGCTGTGTACGCAGTGGGAAACTTCAAAGCATCAGAAGAAGACGCTCACTCTTTACAAAGACTGACCCCAGCTCAGCAGAAGGACGGCCTGAGGGTGCTGAGTCAGCGGAGTCATGACTCCCTGTACAGGAAGACTCCCAGGGTGTCTGAGAGCAGAGAGGAGCTGGGGGTGGGGCTGGGGTCCGGGGCCCGCAGTAAGGTGAGGAGGGAGAAGGCCTCTCTGGCCTCCCTGAAACGAGCAAGTGCTGATGTGGAGCTCCTGGCAACCCGTGGTCCCATGGGCAAGGAAACCATGGTAACCTTCAGCAACACTTTGCCCCGTGTCGCAAACGGCAACAGCCCCATTTCACCCTCAGATGAGCTGCCTACCACACAGCGTCACATGACCTTCCATGTGCCCTTTGACCCTCAGAGGTCTCGACAGCTGGTGTCAGAGTGGAAGCAGCGCTCGCTGGAGCTCCGCAGCCAGAGCTCACGAGATGAGGAGGAGGGAATGGACGGTGGAGATGGAGGAAATGAAGCAGGAGAAGGAGACCAGGAGATGCCTTCCTCTCTTTATCCCACAGTGCAGGCCAACAAGGGCATTGCCACACCGACTGGAGCCAGGATGGTGGTGGCACCGCCACTCGTTCACATCCCTGAGGAGGCCTCTCGGCCGCCACCTGTCTCCCCCAAGAGTGCCAAGACTCGCGCCAAGTGGCTGTCACTAACCGAGGGAGGAGGGGTGAAAGAGCCTGGAACAGGACCCATTGCGGTGTCCACTCCCCGTGTGCCCAACACGCAGCCCAACCAGCCACCCAGTCAGCAAAGAGTCACTCAGGTGAGGAAGGAATTAGAAAATGAATGCCTGCAAATCATACTAACTGCATTATTTTGAGCTGTAATTTTTCATTCCTTAATTTCCAGTGGCATGCAGCCAATTCTGATAAATATATCTCAGACAGGAGATGTATTAGCTGCCAAACACTGTGTACGCTACACACCTATGATTTATTTTGTTGGTAAAATGAAAACAGAATAACATGGGTGAAGGCACTTTGACTGATTAGTTTCCAAAATAAAAAATGTGTTCAAACTGTAATTACAGTCAGAGTTCAATCTTATTAAAATGTCTGTGAGATATACTGACTATGTTACTATTACCCTTTACAAAATTGCTTTGTACCACAATAAACCCTGAATTCAGTTTATTACAGTAAACATTGTAAATACATATTACTGATTGTTGTAGTAGTTGCTTTTCTTGAAATTTTATAGATGTAAATGTTGTAAATTTATGTTATGTTAAATATTTGAAATAAAAAATGAAATTACCTTGGAAACAGCAGTTAACAAATCAATATTATCAACAAGGTCAGTTTGGTAGCTGATCTGAAGCAACTACTTGAGCTCTCCTCTGACCGTCTTTCCTTTGTACGTTCTGACGAGACTTTCTTCTGTCCTCCAGGTGATAGCCATGTCTAAGCAACAGGGTCATGGACCCATCACTTCCTCCACTACTAAGACATCAGAAGGTGGCTCCTCCTCCGGCGGTGGGTCCAACTGCTCCGAGTCGCCCTATTACCGGATCCCATCTGATCGAGACAGCTGCACTGGGAGCAACCCAGGGAGCATCGCCGGAAGTGGGAGCATCGTCACCATCGACGCTCATGCCCCTCACCACCCGGTGGTGCGTGTGTCAGCCAATAACGGCAAACCGTGGGAGTGGAGAAACACCATCAGTGGTAACATGATGACTGCCGACATGGCAGGGGACAAACACCGTGTAGCGCTACAGCGACAGGACAATGTCAGTCACTACCGGGATTACCGGACACTCCCAGTGAAAACAGACTCGCTCTGCTCCTCCGGCGGCAGCGTAGAAGGAGGAGCGGATCTGCCTCCCCCACCTCTCCCGACCTCCTCCTCCCCCCTGCCTCCCCCTCCTCAGCTGTTGTCATCCCCTCTACCGCCACCTCCTCCTCACTCGTCTTCTTCCCCCTTGCCTCCCCCTCCACACTCGAGCTCCTCTCCAATGCCTCCTCCTCTCCCTCACCCTGCCTCCTCTCACATGCCTGCACCTCCTCACCTGTCCTCTCAGATGCCCCCACCACCCCTGCCATCTTCCTCTCAAATGCCTCCACCTCCTCACCCATCCTCCTGTCAAATGCCCCCACCTCCTCACCCATCCTCCTGCCAAATGCCCCCACCTCCACATCCATCCTCTTCTCCTTTGCCACCTCCACCTCACCCCTCATCCTCCATGCCTCCACCTCCTCACCCGTCCTGCTCCAGCATGCTCCCCCCTCCTCCCCATCCCGACTTACTGATGGACGGCCACAGCCAGGCACTGTCCCGCTCCTCCACCCTGCCTCGTCGGCCCTCTGTCTCCGCCCGCAGCCACGCTGAGCAGGAGCACTACTACAAGGCCATGCAGAATGAGAGGATGTTATAGTAAATGGGAAAAACAGCGGACATCATTGTCATATCAATGGTTGTACTTCAGAGGACTCAGCTGAAAGAGACAGTGAAACGAAATAGGTTGGGGCAGGTGAATAAAGATTTATGAAAAATGACAAAAAGGTTTAGAGACTCCAGAACAGCAGCTTCAGTCAAAATGCTGGAAACGAAGAGGCGTTAGGGGTGGAGGACCATTGGGAGGTCTGGCAGCTCACACACACTCAGCAGGGGAGCTGTTTTTTCCCTGCTCGCATGTACTGCCCACAGCGCTAGCTCAACGGCCCTGACTGGGAAAAGAACAGACAAGGGAAGAAAGGGGAGTCAAACAGAGGAGGGTGAAGAATTAAAAACCACAGTTCAGCTCTAGTTTCGGCACGCACATCCTCCGTGTTTCTTTATGACACATTCAAAGAAGGAATGGAAGAGGCTGCAGCTGAAAGAGATATCACAATGAACAGTCTGGGATTTGCTAAATCAAGTTTCCCCTGAGAGGTGGGATAAGACTGAGCAAACAAAACAACTACAGGCAATACTAGCTCTTCTTAAACTAGTGCAGCTGTTTGAGGTTGCCAACTGCTACACACAGAGAATTTGCCGTTCATGCTTCAAAGCCCAAAAGCTGTGAATAAAGAGGAGTATACAGTAATGTTAACTTCAACCACAGGTTCAATAGTATTATCCACAACCCACAAAAGAGAGACGAAAGAGTCTTTTTTGCCCCTCTGAATAAACAAACCAAATGGGGAATTTTATGTTTGAGGCCAAGCAAATCTGTCAGTATCCACCAGAGAGAGCCGGCTTAGGGAGCGTTGCTTCTGGATGGGGTGTGAGAAGGAAGAGGAGGGGTGGGTATAAGGAGGATCACGCACAGTTGGGCACCCCTATACAGACGTCACTGAATGGATTACTGTTGTAAACATGAGAGGCGGTGGAATGGAAAGAGAATTGTTCCTAAAGTGAAGAGGGTGGCTGGGCTGCACAGCACAGCACGGCAAGCCAGGCAACCAGTCTGTCTTTGCTGCGTGCAAAACCTGCCACAGAGCCTGAAGCAGCACTAAGGAGATTAAGGTTTGTTTATCAAACCATGCTAGCACACTCTTATTCACATTTAGCCCTCTGGAAAATCACAATGGTGACGGGAATGTTAATGCAAAGCCGCCCAGCCAGTGGTGCAGCCGGCCATCACCAGCAACATCCACATTGGCTCAAGCAGGTGCTGGTTGGATGCGACTAACTGGCTTGTGTTTCAAGCAGTCTCTGTTTACACCTGTTAGCATTTCAAAGGTTTTGCTACCACTTTCTAACTTTGCATACTTTATGAGGGGTTGCTTTATTAATTATCATTTATCTATGCTTTAAAGAACAGTAATTCTTAAGAGCAACTTTTGGGTTGTCAGGTTGTTCTTTTGTGTACATCTGTCTCTTTATCCAGTTATTTTATATTTTCAGGAAGCAGGAAGACTAAATAATATTTTAAATATTTATAACTCCAGAGATACAATCCTTTATTCATGCATCATCTATATGCAGGGTCACAAGCTACCCTTATTTAAGTACGCTTTAGAAAGTGATACCAAGATTTTTGTTCTTTGTTGATATTATAATAAACTCCTATGTTGACAATGTTGACAAAACCATCTCAACACAAGGTCCATTGCTCGCTTGCTTTAGAGCAGATTGGGATGCTGGCCTCCCAGGATTGCCCCAAAACAGTTTCAGGGGAGGCTCAGTAAATGGAGGTGAAAAAAAAAAAATATTAGGTATCAGTAGGAGATCACATAGAATTGCATAAATGTGTGTAATTAAGAGTCAGAAACTAATAAATGCCTTAGGACAGACCGTTTATATATATTTGGTGTCGTGTAAAGTTAAACAGCAGTATTAGGTTATCACGATAAGATCATATAACATAATCATGATCCCATAGGCATCCTGGAATTGAGCGAAACAAAGCAAGTGAACTAAGGGGGGGTGGGATGGTGCCTTTTTCACAAGCTTTGTCCGAGAGGAGGCCCCCAGTCTCAGGCTTTAAGAAACCCTAGCTCTACAGCTTTTGATCCACATCACACAGTCTTCATTTAGTGTTGTTCGCTTGGTTTCTGTGGAACTGTGAGTGTTCAAACTATGAGCAAACTACATCTGCTAAGGAGGATCGTGTAACATGGTCAAAAAGTGAGTACGCACACCTCCAGTTGAGATTATTTTGTCAACTACTGTTTCAAAGGTCAAGAATGAGCTGCCCACCGAAAGGTTTACATTCAGTTTTTGACATTGATTGTCTAAACCATTAACGATTAATTGTAGGAATAATCTAATTATCAATTCATAATGAAAATAATCAGTAATTGGAGCCCTTAGACATACACTTGGATTTGACATCTACAAGTTGAGAGGAAGTGCGTGTTCTTCCTGCTCACCTCTGCCTCCTGTGTGTATTAGTACTATGTTGTATAAAGTCATTATCTGGTACCTACCATTTCATACATCCAAGTTTTTTCTATCAGCAGATTTCCCGTACATTGACAAGTGCTTTATTTTAGATTGTTCTTTGATCATATCATGAAAGATACAAACTCACATAGATGAAAAAAATGGTTTTCACCCATGCACCACAACATCTGAAGGGTACGTGAACTGATTTTGTAAAGTTGTGCTAGGACGTGGCGAGTTAAATGGAACAAGTTGTATTTTGTAGTGGAGCTCCTCACATGTGAGGGGCTGGTAGATAATGTTGCTCGTCGGTTTGTGCTGCATGTGTGTGTACGAGCGTGATTTTTTAAAACTTTACTTCTGTGCTTCAAGTCTGTGACGTTACCTTTGACCGACAGACATGCTGCATTTTTCAGTGCTGGTGAGTATCGTACTACTTCTCCCCCCTGCCCCATTTTGACTGTAAAAATACTTGATATTACCTAATATTATTAATACTATTATTATTCCGCAGTCCTCTTTTTTGGGCTAATGTTTTCTATCTGTGGTGATGTGTAACATTAATAACCTGATTGAATAAAAAAATGAAGACTTATTAACCAAGGTTTCATCTTGTGTTACTTGACGGCAAAGTGGAAGGTGTTCGGCTCAAAATAGAGAGAGGGTCAATGCCAGAGCAGCTTTTACCGCCACTCTAATGAAACAGATCTTCCCCATTGATTCTTGGGTTATGAGTACTTTCATGCTCAGTCATACTGTATCCTCGCACACACACACACACACACACACACAGCCAGACAGATACATGCACATTTGCAATGCAACATTTGCTCGTTTCCTTTGGGCTAGTGTCAGGTTTCCATAATGAATTCTGCTAGAATGTTGGTCAATCCCAGATGACCCGCAGGGATGCGGCAAGCATTGGCTGAGGCCTGTGTGTGTGTGTCTGTGTGTGTATGTGTGTGTAAAGAATTGTGGGAAATGTGTACTTAAATTAGAGCCTTTGTTTTCTAGTAAATACAAATGCGCCGCTTACTTTATTCCGATCTAAATTATAACACGATTCACGTGCATTAAGGTGGATGATTATGCAGATAAGAATCAGGCTTTGTGTGTGTGTGTGTGTGTGTGTGTTTGTGCATTTGTGTATAAATGCAGTACATTGTCCAGGTGGAGTGAGGTTATGTGTCCATTGAGATATGTGTCAGTTTGTGCATTTTTCTATCTGTATGCATTTTCGGCATGTATGTATATGTGTGTGTCCAGTGCTTTGGAGCATTGAGCTGTGTGATGAGGCCGTACAGGCAGTGGGGGTGCAGATGGTGTACTGAGGCCTGAGGACAGTCAGCCTGTCCATGACTCACACTCAGCAAGCCAGCAGCTCTCCCTCTCTTACTCTCTCCCTCTCCCCTTGGTGGCCCAGAAAACACAACACAACAAGTCTGTATGTGTGTGTGTGTATGCGACTGCGGGAAGCATCAGAAAATGCGGACAGAGCTGTCCGTATGCATGTGCCTGTTTTTGTGCCTGTGTATATGCTTATATCTTTGTGAGCATGCATGTGTGTGACAGTGAGAGCTGTCCAGGAGAAGATGCTGACATTCTTTTCAGGACTGATTTACCACTGCAGAACAGCACAAAAGCCATTTGTCCGCAGCTCCACTTTTATCCTACTCACTTTGTCACTATCATTCTACCTACTGCAATCTCAACTGGCTCCTCGTGAACCTTTACACAAGGAGGAAAGGGATTTGAAGATTTGGAGCTTATATCCTGATTTTCCTCCAGCTCTCAGGTACTTGAATGAGGGATGAGGATTCTAAAGGGTCACAGGGATCATTTTACTTTGAGTCCAATCCATATTGGGTGTCATTTTTCTTTAAGAAATCAAATATTGATAAATTTTTTGCATGAAAAGATTGCCCTATGCAAATAATGCCTTCTGGTTAGGATCTACAGGGACTGACCATATATACAACGGATTCCAGCACTGTCCGAGTTCTTTATCAGGGTTCATTGCTGAAATGGTTGAGGAACCCCAGTTTAACAGCCCTCTTGAGGGTTTCACCAATTATGAAAAGGAAAGGAAAGTGATAGTTTCATATTCCCATGGCGTAACGGTTGTTAAATTTTTCAGCCTTGCACCCAGAGTACATTACATTTAGTCTCAGTTGGGCTTATTAAACCATGTTATAAATCCTGTCATTTGTAGGCCCACCAGACACAAAACTTGTAGTGAGCTCTTTGGGATCCCAAATGATAACCAGCCTTAATGTGCCAGTCAGCCATCTACCACCACAGCTAGGGGCTAAGACTGACATTTCTAGGAGGCTGGCTTCACTGAGTCAGTACATGTATTACAAAGCTTGTTTCTACCTAGGGGTCCAAGACAAAGTTCTTTTTTTTACATCTATCTATTTCATCAGTTGTAGCCAAACAGAAGACAACAGTAAAATCATGACTGGCTACTTGCCAAAGTAGCTCGTAATGTAACACAACATCTACAACCATATAATTTGCAAACACTTTGCTGGTCGTGAGAATTATTT